CTCTCTCTCTCTCTGTGTGTGTGTGTGTGTGTGTGTGTGTGTGTGTGTGTGTGTGTGTGTGTGTGCGTGTGTGTGTGTGTGTGTGTGTGTGTGTGTGCGCGCGCATCTGCGTGTGTGTTGCGCGTGTGTGCGTGCGGACCGGCACTAAGGCGGAGCATCTCTCTTTCTGTGTATCTCTCGTTCTTGCCGTGTCTGCGGTCGTCATTTGATGCTTACCACTCGTTTTACGACGGTGTTCTTTGAGCTGCGGAAGTAGTTAGACGAATCTCGACCTTGCGGAAAGTATAGGATTCGCCCATGACTTAGTGGTATAGAATAATGTCACTGTTATGAAATTCGAGGAATGAGATGTGGATAAAGCCACTGAGCTTTCTTTCACGTCGTAACTTCTTCCCGTAACCTATGTGCTGTATATGCTCTTTGGATCTGTCAGTTTTCACTTCACAGCGGCGGTGTTGTTTTTTGTCACTAAAGACAGAAAGAACGTACTTCTTCTTTTCGTTTTGAACTTTCCCACTCCCCTTTTTGTGGACCATTTCTTGGTCTGAGCGTGCAGTTCTGTCGGTCTTCTGTCCATCCTGCGTTGCCCATCCAAGAGTTTCGTGTCTGAATTTCATTAGTGAACTCGCTCACTTACTGACTAATTGACAATCCATCCCCCCGGCCTTCATTTGCCTTTGGGTTGTCCACTCTTCCTTCCCCTGCGCTCGGCTTTGTCACATTCGTTGAGGCTGCTCGCTCATGCTGATTGTTTTTTCATCTCGTTTTCTTTCTGTTTTCATTTTTGCCTCTTGTTTCATCAATGTTTTCCCTATCTCGGTCGTTTTTTCTGTCGAATCGGATGTGAAATATCCCTTTACCCGATTGGGGTGAGCTTTAACTTACCTGCTTCTTTCATTTCAGAGAGGGAAGATCTACTCGAGTCAATGCCCTGGATCCTATGGGTGCAAGAGCTTTTCCTTCTCTTTACCTCCGTCCTCTCACCCACTCCACTGGCTCGAAAACTGAACTACGTATGATAGGTGACTATCTCGTACTGCTGGGCATATATATATATATATATATATCGTCACAAACAGAACTGCCCGGTAAACCGTAGGCAGAGAGAGAGAAGAGGACAACAAACGAGGGGCTGTGACAAACTGTTTCGTCGGAGTTTCACCGACTCATCAGGAGGCTGAACCCTCAACAGTCTGCAGAATCCCCTCACTGATTACACTGTAAATGATAATCTACCTTAACCAAAATCGAAGTAGACTATCACTACATATATATATATATATATATATATATATATATATATACAGTAGGCTACTTGGCTCTCCCATATAACAGGTTAAATAGGCTACTCGGCAAGCCATGCACTCCGGGCAAGTCGTCCACTCCGGGCAAGTCGTCCACTCCGGGCAAGTCGTCCGGGACCTTGTCCCACTAGCTCCGCTGAGCTAGGTCAACGTTGGGTTTTGGATGCTGCATGACTGTACGCGACAACGGATATGCACGTCGTCCAAGTCATCTACCGGTCCGTTTTTAATAAAAAAAGCAATAGAGACTATCTTTGCTTTTTCTTACAACAAAAAGCAGAAGTAAATCCTTTCTCTCGAATACAACTCCACCTACCCTCGCCACTTTCCGTTGAGATAGTTGTCTCCTGTTTTCGAGACAGCTAACTCAAAGACCCTCTTGTTCACCCCAAAAGCGTTTTTCTAGAGAAACTGTACGAGCCTCCTTCCGTTTGCCATTTTTGTACAAAAGCTATTCTGGAACTGTTCATTTTCTGCTGTGGAAGTGCCCGTATGCCACTCCAATTGTGAAAAAAGAAAAACCAGAACAATTGTATTCGTGCCATTTATAAATGCATTTCTCATTTGAAATTGAATTAGAATGAATTTTTTAGCTCTGGCACCGTTGAGCTGCCTCAACGAAACTGTGCAAGTGGGACAAGGTCCCCGGGGTCACCTGGGGCAAGGTCCCACTTGCACGGATTACGAGATTTCAGGCGTTTGATCTCGGCTATCTACGGTCTCTATCTCTTAATTCGTGCAAGTGGGACCTAGCCCCTGCACGGTGAACCCTGGGCAAGAAAAAAAGTTTAAAAATCAGCTTTTTTTTTGGGGGGGGGGGGTTGGGTTTGGTTGCAGGTTTTCCGATCATGGCTAGGGGAGCCCAAATCCAAGCTCCTTCCGTTTTTGAGCGTTGGCTGTAAAGGGCGGAAGACACCCAGGTTAAAGGGGTGCCTTAGGCCCTGCCTGCACTACTCATGATTTGTGCTTTTTCATGAGCTGCGCATAGCTGCACTTACTCGTGAATTGGGCCGTCGGAAAACGTATGAAGAGCTGTCAGACATACCTCTTGCAAACGTCAAGAGTTGTAGTCGCTACACTACTCTTGCCTTGTTGCTCGTGAAAGTCCATTTCATGAGCTGCCAGGACGCCGTCGGACGAAGTCATCTGGAGCACTCTTGCTCGCCCGCCCGCAACCTTGGTTTTTGCAAGGGTGGTGGATTTCCAGAGCAAGCCTCAGAAGCCTGGGTCTGGGCGGACAAACCACGCTGCACTGCACTCTAGGACAACTGTCAGCGTCTCAAGAGTGCTTCATGAGTGGGACTATTTAAAGTAAGAGCCTCGCTGCCGTACTCTTGAAACGTGCATTTTCAAGAGCTCCACACGGCTGCACTTACTCTAGAGTTGGGCCATCAGAAAACGCTTCAAGAGCTGTCAGGATGTAACCCTTGAAAAAGTAAAGAGTAGCCTTTGGTGCACTCTCTCGTGATTGTGGCTCATGAAAACGCCTTTCAAGAGCTGTCAGGAAGCCGTGAGTAGAAGTCACCTAGAGCGCTCTTGTGTGCCAGCCTGCAACAACCGTTTGCTAAGGTGGTCCGACGGTCGCTTGAAATGGTGAGGATTTTCATGAGCGGGTCTGGAGTCTGGGCGGACAAACAAGGCTGTCGCTGTTGTGTATGGCTTCAAGAGCACCAAACATGTATCAAGAGCTGAGCAAGAGTGCATAGGTCTCGAGTAAGTGCAGCGGCGACAGAACTGTAGGTGTTTTTAGGACTCGACAACTCATGCCACGCTCAAGAGTAGTGCAGCGAGGCCCTACGTGCAGCCACTACCGAACTGTAGGCCATTTCTGGACTCTGACAACTCATGCTGCACTCTTGATTTTTTTAACGAGTCTGATTCTGTTGTTTTCTTTATGAGAAAACTAGGGCGCTGTCAGGGTTACAGTTTGAAAATACATTTCAAACTGCCGTTTTGGAGTCCCTCTTAAGTTTTACACTGCAGACCAAACTCCGCCGTAGCGTTGCTGTCGCAGGACTGAGTTTGTAACTGCAGTCCAGTCATCCACGTTGGAGGGCCAGGCCGTTTTCCAAAAAAGAAAAGAAGAAACAAAAAAAAAGATTGTGGCACTGTATCTTTCCATGCTCTACCGAAAGATTCACTCTCGGTGGAAGGTTTCCACGACTGATCTACAAATGTGCAAAACGAGAGTGAATCTTCCCCAGAACATGGAAAGATACAGCTCCATCATTTTTGTCTTCTGTGCACCGGGAATACAGGGGCCCAGCGGGATACACGGGCTGACAAAAACGCAGAGGCCCTAGGGGAGACACGTGCTGACAAAAACCCAGTTTCTTTTCTTTTTTTTTGTCTCTTTTTTTTTCCTTTCTCAGATTTCTCGACCTATGCGTGCCATCCTTGGGGCCTCGTGGTGGTGCATCTTTCCATGTTGTAGCTGAAGATTCACTCTCGAAATGTGCAAAACGAGAGTGAATC